AAATGTTCCCAAACCGGAGACTTCAATGATGCTGGAGGATTTTCGAGCTCAACTTTATCTGCGTTCGCCATTAATTTTCGACAGTTCCTCAAATTACTGACTACATTTGAACGCATCCCTCTGACCAGCTCTCATAGTATGCCTCTCATCCAATGAAATGACTTGCTCGCTCTATGACGCGTTGAACCCAATGTGAGCAAATTACTCTGAATGCTGCGACGCAGCACCTGAGATTACTTCCAAAAAGTTGTTCACGTTCTCAATTTTTTACGTTTAACGTTATATTCGTTCGGTACACTTCGGTACACACCTGTACCGAACTGAAGGGCCCGTACCGAATAATTTCGGTACGGGTACGTGTACCGTTACACCCCTATTAGAAATGTAAGAGGTTTATCTCTCATTCAGATCAATGGAAAGGCTCTCCTTTCACTGCACATCTCCATGGTAACCTTTGATCTCTGCACATAGGTGTTTGATAACATCGTCACCATGGTAACCTTTAATCTCTGGGCTTACACACACAGGTGTTTGATAGCGTCGTCACCTCAAACACAAACACACAGGCTTTCTCAGCCTATTCTTTTCTGTCTGATGGACACTTCATACTGACTTCAACATGTTCCACATATTTTATACATTATTGGTGATGTATGGTTTTAGTCGAAAAGTTTGCAGTTTAAAGCGTTTTTTCTTTCTTTTCTCTTGTTAATACACATTCATTCACTACTACTTACATTTAATATCTAACTCCTTCAGCCTACTTTTAGCTACAGAAACCATTCAATTATTAAATTATTCAGCTATTTCCGGACATTGAGGCTATACATGTTGTTGTTTATACCTTTTTTAAAACCTTTTCTTTTAAATATTAAGCTTCTTCACTATTTGTCCTACTCTTCCAGTTTAACATTTCACTTTCAAGTTTTCAACAAAGTCATTGCAATGCATTTGAGCTGTAACAATTTTGATTCAAATCATTTCACTTTTCTCCGCTACGTTCAGCAACACACTTACTTGATTTTTGTAGCTAAAAGCAGCTACAGAGACCATTCGACTAATTTCTGCATTTTCAGCTCAATTCAGCAACAAATGTACACAGTTTACAGCATTCGAATGCATTTTCAGCAGGAAATGCATTTTCTAGTTCTGTATAGCTTCCAACCTGATCCTGATCAGTGGATCAGCTGGTGAACTTGTTGCCGTCATTACTTGGTTCCCTTTGTATTTGCGCCTGGCTTCAGAACTCAAGTTCCAGTCTTAAAATAGCACTTGAAATGTTTGGCTCTATGAAACCTGATATACTTATATGATTCTGTTTTCTTCAAGGTTGTGTCTTCCTGGTCGAATGTACTTATTGTAAGTCGCTTTGGACAAAAGCGTCAGCTAAATGCAATGTAATGTAATGTAAAATGTTATACTGGCAACCTGCCAGGTGAGAGACACAAAACTCTGGAGATGACGCCCTGGATGCTGCGTTATGAATATGCATTTTTGGGAAATGAGTGCATTAAGATATAGAGGACATGAGAGAAAGGCAGGAAGAAAGGTGAAAGTTCACTCGACAGTTTATGCGTAGAGCAGCATAAATGAATGGAGTCGGTTCAAAGCAAGCCTGAGCCAGCCCTAACTATAGGCTTTAAAGAGGTCAGCTTAGGCTCTCCATTTCTGGAGCTCACTTGTTCCAAACAAGATGCACCAAGACAGAAAATGAACTGTTCATGCAGATTTAAAGACGCGTCTTAAAAAATAAGTAAAAGGCTACGTGCTCCTCTTCCTCCCCTCCTCCCTCCTGTGTGTCGGTGTAATTAAATCTCCCTCTGTGGGACGATCGTCCCCTGGAACTCTCCTCCGTTTTCAGTTCAAAGCGAGTGACAGGAGGCACAGATACCGAGGGATTAAAACTGCAGACTGCTGCCACGCAATTATCTCACCGCCTCCCACCACGCCAAACACACACGGAGCATTAACACCTCCCCCTCTCTTCCTCACAGCACCTGTCCATCAGCACATCCGTCTCCTCACACAGCGTCCCCATCCATATTCATACCAAAACACACTTGAGTCTTTAGTGGCTGTCAGACCCTCCAACTCATTACTCACTGACTGCATGACAAAAGACAAGTGTGTGTAGAAGCTGCTGTAAGTATTCTGTGCGACACTAGTTTTACAGAAGGGTACATCTGTGGTTGGCCATATGGAAATGATCACAATGGTATCTTAGAGATATACTCAAATAATCACACTTTTTAGATATAAGGAAATAAAGACTGGTGTTTTAGGTTAAGGATGCCCTATTATGCTGTTTCCTGTAATGTGTGTTCTATAGGTGTTTGTGCATGTAAATGGACTGCAAAGGCAAAAATCCCTGTCTTACCTCCAAAGGAAGTTTCTTTCACACCCCCCCCCCCCCCCCCCCCCCTTCCTGAAAAGCCTCCATTAAACTCATTTGTTAACTTCCGTAGTGACATCATTATGTTATCACAGTTGCGCTTCAATTGGCTGGCTTCTCACTACATTGTATGTGATACTTGTGATAGTCTAAAGGGCGGTACATTTCTAAGCTTTTGACCAATCACAACAGAGTCGGCCAGCTGACCAATCAGAGCAGACTGGGCTCTGGCCAAAATGCAAAAATATGTCTTCAGTGTTGTTCAAAACAAAAAAAGACATTAACTGACTGATTGGGAAAGCCCTTTTTTATGAAGCCTTTTCTTTTGGTTTATCTCTTTTTGGAGTCACATTATAATAAGGACAGCTTTTTGCTCAGGGCTGCCTGTATATCTGACAGATTTGTAAATATGAAGGTGTTGTGTGCGATTAAATGACATTAGCTGCTGCAGCTGCAATATCAACGTGTCATGCATCTGTATAAATAATCACAAAGGATAGTCTAAGACCTGTAGGGAAAAATATGAAAAATAAGCTTTGAATCTTTGAAAGGAATGTCTGATGTGCATTAACGACAGCAGGAACGTTTGGAACATCTGACCCCTCAGCATCGCTCTGAAAGCAAAAATAAAGTTTACCGGGTGCAGTATGCCAGTGATATTTTTCTGGAGACAACACAGATATTTCAGGGTAGCAGGGTTAGCTTTCCTTTTAATACCATCCTTCTGTTGGTTCTTCTCAAGTGTTTACAGAGGAGTGTAAAGCAAATCTTGAACGCACACCTGTCCATGTTTCCATACAGCTCAAGGGAATAAAAACATTTGCTATGGCAACTGCCAGACCTTTTGTTCTAACAAGATGTCACCGAAGTGTCACGGCAGAGAAGAGGTGTGTGTGGAGGTGTGTGAAGTATCCTCTCATCAGCTGCATATTAACCGTGAGGGCGCTCTGTTTTATTACATTTAACTCATATTTCATTGATCATTGATGGAGGTCGTGCACAAGAGCTCAGCCTGTATTTTAGTGTCGATATTGTCTTTGCGCTTAAATTCAGTGTTGGAGGTTTTTCAGGACGCTTCATTAAAACCTGCTTTTGCATCATAGGATTCAAATAACCATACTAAAGGTTACTGCAATCTAAGAGTAGCTTGTTATTTAGCAATGGTGATAAACTGTTTGGAAGAAACAAGATTATATCTTTTTAAAACTTGTATTACTTACTTTAGAATTTTAGAATACTTTTTCTGCAGCGTTTTTAAATCTATCTGCAGAATCAGGAAACTTGTTTACAGTTAGTGACCATTAAGTCTGCATTCATTTGTGTCATTATCACATTGTAACCTTATCAATATTAGGGACAGATTGTATAAGTGAAAAAACTCACATTAATATTTACCAATTTGTATTGTACATGAACAAGAAACTGTGTAACTAAACATCACAAATCTATAGTGAAACAATTCAATATTAAAGAGGCACATTTTATGCTTATTGGGTTTTTCCTTTAGTGTGTTTATATGTTTTGTGCATGGGTCTGCAAAGGTTCAAATCCAAAAGTGCCCTGGACTGGGCTCTGGTTTCAGACAGAGGGTGAAAAGAGGTGCTGCAGCACAGGTAGTATGAGGAAAAATAAAGACCTTTCTGAACATTAAAGCATGTAAACATTTCACAGTTGAGGAACAAAATACAAATATGAATCTGGAAATGAGCAGAATATGTCCTTGTTTCAATGTTATCCTGCATGTCTCTTTTTACCTTGACAGGCATTACTGGCAATTTTAGTAACAAAACTGTGATCTTGAGACTTGAGGATTTATCTTATTTTTCTGTTTGACAAAAATAAAGAAATCTGCCCATTTTACACCTAAATATCATTGGGTTATAACATATATTATTTTCTGTAAAAATGCTTGTATATTGGTATCGTGGAGAAACTGATGTTTATTGGTTTCTCATTAATCAGATTTATTCAACCTGCTTTTAACAATTCAGTTTGAAAGAACTGCAAACCTCAAGAACATTTCAAGTTTGTGCATTGAGTTTTATACAGAACAGAAGTGAATGGAAATCAACGGTCGCCTTGAACTATAGAAAAATACATCCTGATAAAATGGCAGCTTAAAATTCTAAACACATCAGTATCCCTCTTTGAAAAAAAGAAATGGTCAGTAAATATTGTTTCATGCATCTCTATCAGCAGTAAAACCTGCTAGAATATCATTCTGAGGAGACTGTTTGGGACGAAATTGAACTTGAAACATGATTGATTATCATTATCCTTTAAATTCTTGCATGCAGTTGTTGAGTTGATTTAAAAGAGTCATACGTTTGATGCCTAAAAACAACTTTACGTGTATGTACTATAGCTTCTGCAGATTCCTCCGTTTCCTTGGCTTTTTTTCTACCAATCATTTAATAGTACAAATCTGAACTTGTATCACGGGAGGAACTTTGGGTCAACTTGGTAATGTCATTCATTTGTGTTCAATATCCAGATTAAGGTTTCCAAATGTTCTTCATAGTTTCTGCTGTTGTGTGTTCTAATGACATTTTAGGGTCATATTAACCAAAATGTTTGGAAGATAACCCGTGCATCTCTCTTCCTTTAGTCCTGGACTGGAGGATGACGGATCCTAACCACCCCATGAACGCTCTCATGCGTCTCAACCAGATCCACCCGGGCCTGCAGTACCGCCTGCTCTCTCAGTCCGGCCCAGTGCACGCCCCGGTCTTCACCATGTCTGTGGACATCCAGGGGACCACCTACCAGGCCTCCGGCAACTCCAAGAGGACGGCCAAGCTCCAAGTGGCCCTCAAGGTATTCTGCACGTTCAACACATGTTTTATAGTGTGCAGGAATTAAATATACTTTACTAATAATGTGAAATGACATCAATCAAACTCACACTAGCAGAGAGCTAAATGTAATACTTTAAGTTTTGTTTGTTCTCCAAGATCTTTCTGGAGCCCTTTCCCTACCATTCAAAACGTATTAGAATTATGTGTAGCTCCTCCATCTCTTTTGTGCAATGTCCATGAGCTCAAGTGTCATAGTTCATAGCATTCAGACTTTTAAATGTAGTCCAACACATTGGGTTAAACAAATATTTGTGTACAGTCATGATCCCCAGAGGATGATTCCAGCTGTTCATTTAGCTCCACCATGGTGTTAACGTTTGTGGTTTTGAGTAAAATATTTCAACAGCTACATAGTTGACATTAAATACAATTTGAAGATCCTTAAAGTCTCACCCAGCAGCATTGTTAGGTCTCTATAGAGTGGTGTGCAGAAACGAGTCCCAAAACCAGGAAATAACTTCGCATTTTCCCACTTCGGGTTCTCTCGTCTAGAAGTCTACAGTTTTGTTAACGTGTTGATGGATAGAAGCCTGAAACAAGCTCTTTTGACAACACAAGCAGAAGAAATTCTCACGTTTTCTGCTCAATATAAAATATGTCAGTTAATACCACGCGGCCATGCCACTGTGATGTAGTTATTTATAGCCTAGCTTTAGCTTTTTACTTCTGGCAATTGCATTTATGCTTCAAAAGTTAAAAGTGGTGTCAATATGTGGAGATTATCCTGGTGTCATTGATGTGTGTTGGCCACAGAGATTATTTTCTGCAATATACCAAAATCCAAATGGGAAAATCCCATTGGATTTGGTCAAGGGAACCCTTGTGATGCTAACTTGGTCGAGGGAACCCTTGCGATGCTAACTTGGTCGAGGGAACCCTTGTGATGCTAACTTGGTCGAGGGAACCCTTGTGATGCTAACTTGGTCGAGGGAACCCTTGCGATGCTAACGTCCGGATCGGCTAACATGATGGGAGCTGTAATGTAGCTAAATGTTATAGAGCCCCTAAGGTATGGCGTGTAGGCTTTGTGTTAATGATGATGAAGATGGCCATTCTGCAGCCTCACTGCCACAGTGTCAGTGTTCAGCGCCTTGCTCAAGGGCTGTTCAATCATAGACACTGGATGTGTATGTTTTGGGACATTAGGGAACCAGTTATCCTATAATTAGATGACTGTCTAATGCAGTAGAGACAGACTATTTACTGGAGGTGATGAATAATTAGTGCCGTGTTTCCTCCTCAGGCGCTGCAGGCTCTGGGCTTTGTGCTCGGCGGCGACGGAGATGTGGACTCGCTGAGCGCCGACGAGAAGTCAGATGGCGAAGGCAAGATCGACAGGATGTCCACCACCTCCAGCTCCACCTCCATCACCTCCATCACCTCCTCCACAGACACACAGGAGGTGGGGAGGACACACACACACACACACACACACACACACACACACAGTAGGATTATTAACAAGAACACATGGGTATTAGGGCGCTTCACAGACAGACAGTTTCACCAAGTAGTGATGTGATATAGGGCTGCAAGATTTTGAAAAGAAAAACGTAGTGCTATTATTTAGACTAATATTGCATTAGGATTCTTTTTACCAATACTAGATACTGCAATAATCTCATTGAAAAGCAAATAATAATAGTTTGATTTTCTTTTTGGGAGGATCTGTACTGTTGTGGCGATTTAGCACTCATAACTGGAAAGAATGAAACGGAGAGGAATCAAATAAAACACAAACACAGATATAGTTGATCAATTATTATCAATAATAACGAGGAAAATATTACCTCTGCTCTCAAGCAGTCCTACAGCAATGCTCCCACCCAGTAGAATTTTACAGAGACATATATAGGACTTCTACAATGACGTACCCTCATTTCCTTTACATTAACTAACACACGACATCACATGAATGCCACACTTGTATATGTTGCAGATGTCGAAAGTTCATCTATCTCATGACATCTTTAGGAGTAATAAACTAACAAAGGTTAACTGTTTTTATAACCTGAGGCCTTCTCTGAACTTCCTCTAACCTCGGTGTCAGCTCACTTAAAATGAATACATCTATTGATAATTCAAAACGACCATTGTCTCTCTAACTCTGTGTGACCTAACTCAGTAACACACATGATATCGCTTACCATGTGATCTTATTGAATAAGCCAGAAATACGCTGTAATAAGGATTCTGCCATAACAGTACCTAACAAGGAATCTTCTTTAAGTCTATACAATATTTGTAGTAGGTCGTGACTGCAGCTGCACAATACTTCATCTAGATATTTTGCCTTTACTTACTATTGTATATACTGCTACTTGGTTATTTCATTAGTCCAATTTGCAACTTAGATTAAATGTGCAGCCCTGTCATCACTGATGTTTATTACAAATTCTTAACTCTTAAGTTTGAAGTGTCATCTTGCCAAACAAAATCTGCAGTCACCTGCCTCTCTTTCAGCATGTGTTTTAGTGTCTTCTTCCATCTGTTGTTCTTATAGAGGTAGAGCAATAATGGTACATGTCAGCTGTCAAGGCATACCCAATATTTCCAACTTCAAGGCTAATGAGGGATCTGAGTGTGCTGAAACTTTCAAATACACAGGCATTTTTAGAATGTGTCAAAATAACATTTGTATGGCATGTGAAAAAGCTGCATGGTTGTTGCTAGCACTGCACAATTAATTAAAAGTGTTACCAAAACTGCGATGGACTAGTGCAATATTCGAAGAAAGCATAACATTTGTTGAATCCTAAATATTGTTTGAGATACCATTTTTAATGAGGTTCTTTGGAGCTGCAGAGATATCACAGCCTACAAATAGTATTTTAACATAACATGTCTGTAAATACTCATAGGAACCATGAGCGTACCGTAAGAGGTCAGACCGGAGAATTGACAAAGACATTTGCTGCAGCAACAAAGTGATACAGCTCAAGCCCAGCACATTCTGAAGCTTTCTCACCCATTCCCACGCATTGATGTAGTTCTACATTTTCTACATCAACATTTTGCATGACATTGACAAGACATAACAAGCAAAGCACTATGACTCCTTTCAAAGACAATATGAGCCAAAAAGGGGCGAAACATACCCGACAAGATGGACTGCAAGATATCCCTAGAGCAAGCAAAACATCCTGTATCAACTTATGCCAACAGGCAGGAAAAAAAGAGACAAAAGTACTCTCTAACAGAGAGATAAGCACCCAAAGGTTGCATATGTTCAACATATAAAAACTGAAATGTGAAAGATGTGTTTGAGGTCATTTAGTATCTCTGCTACTTTTATTCATATACTTTGTCCACAAGGGATCACTGAAACTGAAAACACACTGCAAAAGTCCCAAAATGTATACTTATACAAATACTTGCACACAATATATCTAAATAATTGTTGATATTATTTGTATTGTTGTGTCAGTTATTCTCTGTCAGATAGACAGAGACAGATTTGAACTGTAGTTAAAAACATTTAGGAATATCTAACCTTGTTCTATATTCTGCCTCCGTCCGCCTGCAGTCCAGAGCTCCAGGTCCCATCCTGACGGCGGGGGGGAAAAACCCCGTGATGGAGCTGAACGAGAAACGGCGAGGGTTAAAATACGAGCTGATATCAGAGAGTGGCAGCAGCTACGACAAACGCTTCATTATAGAGGTACACACACACACAACCACAAACCCTAATTAATTTCCTGTCTCCCTTTCACAAGGTCTTATTAGGAATCAATGAGGGAGGAAGCGTGTTTGATGTTTGGCGCTTCCTGCATCAAAACTTCACATGGCAGGAAAGAAGAGCTTAACATAAAAACAATTGTATCCTGTGAAATCAATCTGAATCACAGTGCTGTTTCTACAAGACTAAAGTTATTCTAAATGTCTTGATATTATTCCGCACCCGGATCTTGTTTCCTTTAAGGAATTGTTATTATTTCTTATGATGAATATGTGCCAACTTGATAAATAATTTGAATACAAATAGTTTCCAGTTTGTTTAAAAGAACCAAAAGAAGAACTGTGAGGTGAGCATGACCAGTGACACCCACAGTAATGTAACGGATGAGTCATCAACAAATACTCATTGCATTACATGTTAATGCACTAAACCATGTTTGTAAAGCTAGAACATTTCAAATATATCATTTTCAATTTAAATTATTTTTTCAGAGTTACAGAAACGTCAGTTGTAAAGCGGTTCAGAATATGACATTGTATTGTTAACTACTGTCTGAGTAGGGGCGAGGAAGTGAAAATAAGTGAGTTTGTGTGATAACAAGTGAGAAGATTTTTTTCTGTGTATGTATATCCTAGTCACCGGGGAGTACAGATGTCACGATTGCGTTTAAGCATGTTATGTCTATAATTTATATTCTATATTGCTTTGAAACTGTAATTATTCAAGTTTTCTAGCAAATAACGCTGGGTTACGTATTGTAACCCTTGTTATATTAACACAGGCAGAGCCCTCTACTGCACTCTATGGGTACTACCTTACAGAGGTGGGAGTAAGTCCTACATGTGCAAGTCATAAGCAAATCTCAAGTCTTGACCTACAAGTATCAAGCAAGTCCCAAGTCACTGTGGTGAGAGTCAAGCAAGTCAAGTCAAGTCATTGCTCAGGTCAAACAAGTCAAGTCATACAACATTCTGATGAATAAGCCCAGTTTCCACATTTAAATCAGTTAAAAGACAGTGGTTATGAAAATGGATTCAACCCACACTATGATTCATTACATACACAGTTAATCATTTGAAATCTAATTTAGACCAATGACAATCATATTAGATCAATATTAACCCTAGAACTGCAGACAATAGCTAGGACTCAATCAAAAAGTCTGTTCAAAAAGGCAGAATTCCAGGTAAGAAAATCATATATGGCATTTGCCATTACACATATTTAATTTACATTTCTGTTAACACTAGAACCGCCAACAGCGTCAGCACCTACATAGATATCATTTTCAAATCATTTAATTTGTTCCTCTTCATAATTTCTTTACAAACTAAGTAGGACGATTCAAAACTCACTTAATTGGGTTAATTTAGAGATTGCTTCAGTTTATCATCATAACAGATCAAAAATGTCAGATTCATTTTATAATAAATCAAGGAATGATGCACTTCTGCAAACAAAAACAACATAATTAAAACATTTAAACAAACTACTAAAAGTAGATGAACTACATTATTCAACAGTTTACAGTAACTTCTGATAATAACACAGGGGAAATAAATGAGGCTTCTCTTTTCCTCTCTCTCCCTCTCCCTCTCCTGACAGCCCGTCACTATCAGGGTTAGTCAAAATGAATCCCTTGGTTAATTTACCGTTTTGTCTTCTCTTTGAAGAGGGCTGCACATCTAATCTAAGTTGCAAATGCTTAATCGATTTGAAACCAAGTCTAACGTAGCTTAAATTTAACGTTAGCTTTCTGGCTAACACAACACATTCACGTACCTTTCTCTGTGGGGTTTGTTGTAGTGACGAATGAAGTTGGATGTTGTGGTGGTCGTGTGACTGATCTTTATGCTGCAGACCCTGCATACCGCTGTTCTCTTCTTATTATCATCATCGGCAACATAATCCTTGAATCCAATCTTGACTATTTTTGGAGTAAAGCTAGCCACTGCCATGTTAACTGACACTCCTGCCTACTAGTGGGTTGCCAGGTTTGCGCGCATGGCGCTATAATCACCCAATCACATTTCGAAAAAACTAAACTTAATATCTCACTACAAAAACAAATGCAAATATTTAATTTTAAAAAGTCAAGTCCTTTCAAGTCATCCGTCTCAAGCTTAAGTCAAGTCTCAAGTCATGAATACCAAGTCAAAGTCAAGTCAAGTCTTTTATCAATGTTAATCAAGCAAGTCTCAAGTCCAAAAATATGCGATTCGAGTCGGACTCAAGTCATGTGACTCGAGTCCCCACCTCTGCTACCTTATCATGCAAGCATTCACCTACTGAGATTTCTATAGACGTAGCTGGCCCCGGGGCGGGCCTACCTGAATGCGCTCGCATCTCACTTCCGTATAAAAGGAGGCCCCGCCTCCTGACCATCATCTCACACCACTCTTCAGCGAGAGGTATAGGACAGACAGTGTCCCAGGGTAGAGGGCTCCGCCTGTGTTAATATAACAAGGGTTACAATACGTAACCCGGTGTTATATCTCTCACAGGCTGATGTATGCACGCACTGTCGTCCAACACACTGTTCCACCTCACTGTCCCTGACCGGCTTTAGCAGCCGCTGCGCCTCACTCACCTCTCCCTCGGTTGAAACCGTGGAGAAGTCCAGGCTGCAGCCGATAGAGCACACCCTGATGCGCTTGCCATGCAAAAGTGTGCTCGAAAACAGTGCTGAGGGCTCCCCTGCGTCCGCCTATAGGCAGACAGGGAAAGTCCGCAGCCATGTATGGGTTCACTATGCACCCTCTCTCATGAGTCCCTAAAGAGCACGGGGAGAGCGCAAGTGCCCGCTACCAAGTAACAGGCTCTCCCTGCCTGCTCGTAGGCATGTGCAATGCCTCCACAAAGCCAGCCTGCCAGGCGTTTCTTGGACAGAGTTTTTCCAGTCACCCCGCCCCCGAAGCACACAAACAGCCGTTCAGTGCATTTCAGGGTAGCTGTGCGCTCTACATAACATGCTAACGCGCGCACCGGGCAGAGGAGGTGCAGTTTAGCTTCCCTGGCCTCACCATGGGGTGGAAGACTAAAACCCCCCAACTGAATAGCCCTCGACCTGAACACACTCCTTAGGCTTTTAGGAATAAAGGAGGGGTTCGGTCTGAGTGTCGCCCCGCTCCGGTCACCCTGAATCAGTAAACAGCTCGGGTGCACCGATAGAGCGGTTAACTCGGACACTCTTTTGGCTGACGTTAAGGCAAGTAGCAATGCTGTCTTCCATGACAGTGCTTTCAGGGAGGAGAGCTCCAGAGGCTCAAATGGTTCTGTGACCAGAGCCTCGAGCACCAGCGGCAGGTCCCACTGCGGGGCGGAGGCGTGCACTACTGGGCGCAGCCTCCTGACCCCCTGTAAAAACCGCAACATCAGTGGCTGACTAAAGGCTGACCTGCCGTTGAATCCCTCATGACAGGACGAGATGGCTGCTGCATACACTTCCACTGTGTAATGCGCAAGCCCTCTGTCCACCAATAACTGTAAGAAGGATAAAATAGAGCCTAACTCACAAGATAGGGGCTCTATTCTCCGTTCCTCACACCATCGCTGGAATCCCAGCCACTTCGGCCTGTAACAGGCTGTGATGGATCCAGCTCTTGCTGCCTGGATAGTCTGAATAACGCTGTCGGACAATCCACGCTGTCTCAGCCTGTCCCTCTCAGGAGCCAAGCCTGGAGAGGACGGCCCAGAGTGGGTAACGCCCCGATTGCAGCTGCCTCTTGAGACATCGCCCCCCAGAACGGGGGAATTGCCCAGGGCTGGCCCACCTTCATCGGTGTCATCTCTTGAGTACCACGGAGCCCCGACACGATCCGGTGCTACCAGAATGACTGCCAGACGTTCTCGCCTCACTCTCCCCAGGAGAGGGAAAATGAGACGCAGCGGTGGAAAGGCGTATAGCAGCTTCCTTGGCCATGGCTCGTGTGCAAACGCGTCCACCCCAAAGGGCGGGTCGTCGCTCAGGGCCATGGAAAACCACAGGGCACAGTGGCTGTTGTGCCGGCTGGCGAGCAGGTCCACTTCCGCTATCCCGAACTGGGCCGAGATCTGCTTCACCACCTCCGGGTGAAGCGTCCATTCGCCTGGCAGGGGCCCGCCCCTCGACATGAGGTCGGTCCCCCTGTTCTCCAGTCCCGGGATATGGAGGGCTTTCAGAGTTAACACCACCTCTGAAGCTCATAACCACAGCCTCTCCACTGTGGCCAACAAGGCAGCGGAGCGGACTCCGCCCTGCCTGTTGATATAAGCCACTGTGGTGCTGTTGTCGCTCCTGACCATTACATGCCTCCTTTGAATTAGGGGCATGAAATGCTGGAGGACTAACACTACCGCCTGTAGCTCTAGGAGGTTGCTGTGTCGAGATTCTGTTAGAGCCCAGCGCCCACCTATAGCCCTCTTCAGGCAGGTCCCTCCCCATCCTGTTCCCGTGAACGCTGTGATGTAGGAGGTTACCCGTCCCAGTGGGGACCCCCGCCGGAGGTGCCCGGGAGACCCCCAGAACCGGAGGTTGCCCTCCACTGAAGGGGGGATGGTCACGAGCCGCCGTTTGTGCCTCTTGGGATCCAAACGCAGGCTGGAGAACCACCTCTGCAGGCGGCGCATATGCAGTAACCCCAGCGGGACCACAATGTGAGCAGCCGCCATGAGACCCAAAGTCTGCATGACAGTTAAAGCTGTCACTGTCGCCCCCTGTCGCAGCCTGTGAACCGCCCGGAGAAGAGACGCACTTCTGCTCTCTGACAGGGTGGCGCGTAGCACGCCTGCATCGAGCACCACTCCCAACTACAACGCCTGTTGGTGAGGTATGGGGGTGCTCTTTTTTCAATTGATCGCAAAGCCTAATTTGGTTAGGTGTGTGATCAATTGTGCTGTGCAAAACATTGCCCATTCCCGGGACCCAGCCATGACTATGAGGTCGTCTAGGTCAAATAAAACTCTCATGCCGTGGGCGCGCAGCGGTTGAAGCGCAGGGGCCACACATTCCCTGAATGTGCATGGGGATAGGGATTAGCCGAACGGGAGTCTGTTGTACTCGTAGGCTATTCCCTGAAAGGCAAAACGCAGATACTTTCTGTGGTCTGGCACAATTTCTACATGAAAGTACGCGTCTTTCAGGTCGATGGTGGTGAACCAATCGCCCGGTTGCACCAGCCCCATTAACTGTTTTATGGTTAACATGTACAATTTCCTGCGGCAAATGTGACGATTCAGGCTGCGCAAATCTAGAATAGGTCTGAATTCCCCTGTCTTCTTGAGAACCAGGAAGTACATGGAATAAAAACCCTTTTCTCTGTGCTGAGGGTGCACAACAGACACAGCCTGTTTCTGCACCAGCGCCTGAATCTCTGCTGAGAGGAAACACATCTCCTCCTGAGATGACAGATTTAACTCTCGTATGCCTCTGAATGGAGGTGGGATGCTGCAAAACTGGAGTGAATAACCCCGTTTCAGCATCCTGTCCATCCACTTCGTTAACACACAGCTGAGGCTCCATTCCCCATAACATTTGGACAAGCCCTCAGCTGTGGGAGACAGGCCACATTTCCCGAGACTGCCCAGGGAAGGAAGAACTAATGCCGACCGCCAACTCATCTGGTGCAAGGCCCTGCCACCTTCTTGACTCCTACTGGGTACAGGAAAGCTAATTTACCCCTTTTGTTTTATAAGTGAAGTTATAGTCATTTGTTCTGGGAATATCATTTTCGAGCCTGAGACCTGGAAAACTGGCTCGGGGCTTAACAGGTTAACAATCACATAAGATAAAGATAAAAGAGAGCTGGAACCAGACATTTTGAAAGAATCACTGAACAGTTAACCAATTATCAAAATAATCCGTCAACGAACAAATTGATTATTAGTTTCAGCTCTAATTCTCTGAGAAAGACCAACATAAAGAAGAATAAACCTATCTTTTATACACCTTTCATCAGAAGCCGTTCTCCTCTGTGTGTTGTTTGTGTGCGACAGGTGGAGGTGGACAAGCAGGTGTTTCGGGGAACGGGTCCAAATAAGAAAGTAGCCAAAGCCAGCGCAGCGCTCGCCGCCCTGAACAGCCTGTTCTCCGGCTCCAAATCTACAAGCATCAAGAAGAAAAGACCCAACCCTCCTGTGAGTACATCACATGCTTCTCTGGTCAGCAAAATGAAACCACTTAATATTCAGTGCTCATGTGTATCTGCTGTGTGTGTGTGTGTGTGTGTGTGTGTGTGTGTTGTGTGTGTGTGTGTGTGTGTGTGTGTGTGTGTGTGTGTGTGTGTGTGTGTGTGTGTGTGTGTGTGTGTGTGTGTGTGTGTGTGTGTGTGTGTGTGTGTGTGTGGTGTGTGTGTGTGTGTGTGTGTGTGTGTGGTGTGTGTGTGTGTGTGTGGTGTGTGTGTGTGTGTGTGTGTGTGTGTGGTGTGTGTGTGTGTGTGTGTGTGTGTGGTGTGTGTGTGTGTGTGTGTGTGTGTGTGTGTGTGGTGTGTGTGTGGTGTGTGTGTGTGTGGTGTGTGTGTGTGTGTGTGTGTGTGTGTGTGTGTGTGTGTGTGTGGTGTGTGTGTGTGTGTGTGTGTGTGTGTGTGTGTGTGTGTGTGTGTGGCCAAAGAGACCCGTAACCTCGATGCTGACGCTCCCGGCCCTCGCTGCCAGACCTCCAATTGTCCCTGTCCTCCCCAGAGCCCCCTACATCAGCACACAACACACACATGGATACATCCCCCCAGGTGAGTTTTACATGGTTTACTAGACTAAGAAGACAATCAGTTATATTTACAATATAATCATTGCAGCGTAAGTTTTCACAAAAAATAAAATGTTCAATATTTTAATCATAATTATTAAACATAGATATTAAAAGGTTGAAGGTGGGTGAATTGTGTCACAGTTTTTAGTGTTCGAGGAATATTTGGATTTTGGGGGAAATACACTAATTTGCTTTATAGATAAGAGGATAACAGTTTATGATTTCTTTTAGTTCCCTCAACTCTCCAGTAACTGTGGAAGAAAATAGTTTTTGTGGCAAATACGGCACATTTACATGATGGATTCAAGTGCTCATGTTATTTAAATAAATACTAATACAAACACAACTGCTTTTATGTCTGTACAGTGAATACAAACATGCATGGTATGTGCAATAATTACACTGTGGTATGCTTTTTCTCTTTCTCCTCTCAGGTTTTGGGGCTCCTTATGGTTACAGCCCTGCAGGTGCCCTCCCTCACTACGGTAAACTCATTCACTGATCAATAATCCCTCCATTCGATTTTTTCCATCACTACATCACAACATTTGAGTTATTTTTTTGTTTTGCTTGGCTCTCCCTTAGGTTTCCCTTCCAGAGTTCCCTCAGTAGTTGTCCCAGTCATCAGAGTCCCCACAGCATACCCCATCACCCACCTCTACCCCTATTAGGACCCTCAATTACCTCTCCAACTTCAGAGGAAGTCACTGGTTAAAGTTAGATTCTGACATTTACTTTTTATGTTCAGGACACACACTTTAAACACCAAAAACCAACAGTGGATTACATAGACCTTTGACTAGTTGACCCAATCAGTACCACTGTATAGGATGTTCCCTTATTGGCAACCAACTCGATCAATTTGGCCTTCAGAAAGTTGGGCGGCCTGATTACAAAAATAAGCTCTTTGGTCATCAAATCATTATACATGACAAAATGAGTTCAGTGTTATAAAGACTGGTAAGGTTTAGTATTGAACGTATTAAATGGACATTCACTAAAAAGAACTAAATCTACTAAAGGGAACACAAATAAGCCACTTGTGAAATGTAAACAATACAGACAAAAAGCATATTTTTTAGGTACCAAAAATAATGACAGAGATTCTCAAGTACACAAACTACTTAATATCCAATGTAGGAAATTAAACAAAAAACTGTACAAAGGAACTTCCTCTTTAAGCAGACCGTACAGTTGCTGTTTTTGTAGTTCTTAATAGGATGATTAATATCCTAAACCATGATTAACTAAATACAAAAGCACCATAGCAAGGAAAAAATAACATGTGGTCATAACTAAATATTTAATAAAACTAAATGTTCATCCAACAAGGGGAACCAATTTGTTGCAGTTTTAGTCGGTATTTATTAACTTTTCTATATTGTGTCCTGTAGGTGATATGTGTAGTCCAGTTCTGGGAACTGAGCATCCACTTTAACAAACTGAATTACTAGCCTCTCTATAGGTATCTATAATAACACCAACTACCAGTAATCAACATAGGAAACGTAAATATCCATTGTTATGAACTTAAAAAAACACTTACCATAGAAGACCGCAAAATACAATACTGTATACAGTATCAGGAAATAAGTCAATTAACTGTAAAGAGGTAAACCAACATTTGTGAGAAACTTAAAAAATAAGGTTACTTACTATACACTAACTATTAAGTATCTACAGTATGGCTCTAAACTGTCACCGTAAGGAAGTAAACAAAAAACGACACCTACCATGACAGACTTCAATACAATGGTGTATATCAGGGAACTAAGCTGCAAAGGGGAAAGCATTTTCTGTGGGGAACTAAATAAATGGAGCACTAGCAAAACACTTACTGTTAAGTATCCAGGTCATTGTTAGGAAGTTAAAAACTATAAAAACCTACAACATTTACAGTGCTGTATATCAGAGAACTAAATAAATAAACTGCAATGAGCTGATTTTTTTTTGGGGGGAACTAAAGAAATTAGGCTACAAACGTAACACTTTCTATTAAGTATCTACAGCAGGGGTGCCCAACCAGTCGATCGCGATCGACCGGAGATTCCCAGTCGATCGCGAGATGTGTCTAAAAATAGAACAACAACATTCTGTTGTATCGTTAATGTCCTGTAACATAATCTTCCTGTTCAGAATAATGCACATGAACGCATCAAAGCTTTGTGATTGGCCGGCGTGACCCCATGTGTCGGGGCGTGGCTGGTGAGCAGTGGGCAGTATTTTGCTGACGTTGTCTGTGTCAACAGGAGTGACAGTCCGCACACACACAAGACCGCAATTATGGCAGAAGCAAAAAAGCCCAAAATATATAATTTTCACTCCGAGTGGGAGGATGATTATTTTTGTATCTATTCCAATTCAAAGTCCATCTGTCTCATCTACAATGCGAGCGTGGCTTTATTGAAGAAGGGTAATTTAGGAGCGCCATTTCAAAACAATGCACAAACGCTACGAGACGGAATTCCCTCCTAATTCTGCCCTACGCTCCAAAAGGGGAGGGGTCTGAAAGGACAGCTAAATGCACAGCAGTCCATTTTCACCAGGCCCAACAACAAGAGCAAGGCTGCTACCATAGCATCTTATCGTGTCAGTCACGTTCTTGAGAAACACATGAAGTCTTTCAAAGACGGCGAAGTTGTGAAAGAAGCATTCCTGGAGGCTGCCGACGCGCTTTTGGGGGACAGTAAAAATAACAGAAGCATTTCAACAGGTTTTTGATATAATAAAAACTCAAGTTAGATACCGTTATTAATCAGCTGTAAGTTTTAGTTTGTTTGAACTTATTCATTATAATTATTGTACAAAATGGTATAAGAATGCAAACATTAAGATCTGTTCTGTTTAAATTGATTATAGTCTATTATCAATTCAGGTTAAGAAACTAGTGTTGCTTGCATCCTATTTTAAATGCATTTATTTTTATACTCTACTAAAATGCATAAAAAAGGGTTTGATTCTATTAATTTTGTCTTTTTTATTGCATGTTGGCAGCAGATTCCTGAGTAGCTTCAGATCTGAGTTGTCTTATTAGTAAGCCTAATTTATACTTTTGTAGCAACACTATTTTTATATAATGGCAAAGAAAGGGTTCAGAGTCTTTTCTTTTTGTCCTGTGTCATATGTGGCAGCACTGTTCAATGTTTCTTGAAAACATTACCCACTGTGGTGACGTGTGAATAAACTCCAACTCTGTATCAACAACACTGTTGTGTAACTTCAGTTAAATACTTGTATGTGTGTAGAAAGAGGTAAGATAAAGGATCTGCAGTATTTTATGAAGTATTCATCGTACAAAGGTCAGTTTTATACAAGTAGAAGTGTGTATTTACCTGGTAGTAGGCTGTCAGTAATGGCTACGCCTCTCTATTTGGAATGGTAGATCTCGGCAGACTGACAACTTTAAAAGTAGCTCTCGGTTCAAAAAAGGTTGAGCACCCCTGATCTACAGTATGGAACTAAACCGTCACTGTAAGGAATGAAAACATTAGCCGCTTTTCATATATATATTTAAAGGGATAGTGGAAATCCGCAAATTTTGGGTTTAATTTATGTATTTTTATTAAAAAAATAAGCATAATAAACAATTTTTTTTAATTTCATGCGCCTAGTTTCATTTTATTTTCAATTTTACTGCGCCCTCTCAATGAAACGAAATACTTCGGGAATCGTCGGGAATCTTCGGGTGATGACGAGAGCATAGGAAGACGGGCACAAACAATGGCGGACATTCAATAGCATTTGCATGTGAATAGCCGAGTATATTGCCATAAATATGATGATTGATTATCAGTAAAAAAATTCTACGTGACACAACGACATTGGATTAACCTTGAGATGCGTTTTTATTCCGTTGAACACAACTTTTGATCACAAATCAAAAAAGGTAAGACGTAATTATTGTAATATTTTTGGAACCGGATGTTGTTTACTTTCTCTTTTCTGGCTGATAGCTATAGGAATTCGAGGTCTTACAGTGATGACATTACATGTGTGGAATCTGTGGAGTCTCAGCTTTAAATCGTATATCTTGTTTGTGCAGTTAAGATAGTAATAAGGGCATTTCTACCGTGTGTTGTGTGTAAAAAAGCGTTAGCATTAGTTAGCATTGTTTCGCTCAATGCTAATTCAAAGGCTTGGTATTACTCTTGTGTTTTTTCTAGCTAACAATTGTTCTTATTGTCAGTTAGTGGAGTTTCTTACCTTTAAAAGGGTATGAAACATTAATAGTTTCATAAATGTTAAGAAGCCCTGAGACATGTGAGAGAAAAAAAACTGTGGGGACCTTCGGGCTTAACTGGTTAACAATGATTAATATTTGTAAAGGCTACAGGTGATCTTAAGATGCGTGAGCTATGCTTAGGGACCTACCAGTCAAGATTATGTGTGCGTAGGGGTGCATCATCTGGCGCCTGGTCCTGGTCATCCTCGCCAGTGCCCATGCCGTGAACCATCACCTCGGGCTCGAACAAATAAGGACGTAATGGTCCATCGTCTGGCTCAATATTGTCACCATCATCGCTTACTGAACCGGATTCAGATTCAGTTCCTAAAACGACATTTTCGTAGGAAAGCCGAGAGGATGTTTCTGACTCGCTATCATCACTGGATACCTCGTACAATCCTTCTTCTTTGTCTGGTATATTTGCCCTTCCACGTTCATTCTGCATAGACGCCATGGTTTGTTATCGTATCGTCTTCCTGAGTTTTCGTCACTTCCGGTTTGGCTGAGTCGAACATTTCGTTTCTAAAAAACTTCGGGGAAGCTGCAATAAAGTGCTTCTAACATGCGTAAGGCAATTATTATATATTTTTTAATCAGGTGTGATTGTTTTGGTACGTAATTAAGCATGTATATAAGTTAAAACGAAACTATTTGAGGTTCCATTTCCACTATCCCTTTAATATTGTCTGCTTATCTGTATTATTGTGTTGCATTGTTGGAGAAGCCTGTGACCTAAGATTTTCAACGACATAATTACTCTGTAGCTATGTTAGTTAGGGGTGCCCCGAATGGGAAATTCTTGGCCGAAACCGATACCGAAAATAGGAAACAGTTGGCCGAATGCCGAAAGGCCGAAAATGATTAATAGAAATATATATATATATATATATATATATATATATAATGTATACATTTTTTACCAATGTTGTTCAGCTACCTGATTATGGAAATAGACATGATTATGGCAAAACTTAACTTAAATAATAATCACTATTATGGGTCCATAAAACATGTATTCAGCACTTTTGAATGCATACAGTACATTTATTTTCTCTGTAGGATAACTACAACAAAGTGCATTCAGAACAAAGCCAAGGGGCTTTAAAACTGCATAAACATCTAGGCCAGTAGGCCTACAACAAAATAGTGTAAATAAAGACTGTAACAGCCAGGCCTTCAACAACAACAAATGCACCTATAAGTGCATGCATACAAATGTGCAAACTGGATAAATCCACATGAATGTAACTATAGTATTTACAAATGAAATTACAATTGAATTTCAAGAATCTGTAAATAAGGCCTCATAAACAAAGTAGTAAACATTGTATAAAGATACATAAAGTGAAAACTGGATACAAAATCCACAATCAATTACAAATTAAATTACAATTTCAAGAATCTGCAAATCAGGTGGTCTGTCCTCATGAGCAATGTAAACAACATTGTATCATTTAGATACCGAAAGTACAATGTATTGAACACTGTGCTGCTGTCATTTCCCCCTAATGATAACCTGAGATGGTGAATTATAACTCACAATGAAAATTGTTCAGGAAAGTGGGTATAGAGTAGACATGTAGAACTAGATAAGCTTATGATAAGCCTATGATAAGCCAGCCTTGTCTACTTATTAAGGAAAAGTGGGAGGTTCTTTTTAATGAACAGTAGCTTCTCTGCTTTATCAGCCATAAGTCTGTTCCTCTTCTCATCAAGCACATGAGAGGCAGCGCTGAACAGTCTCTCGCTGTCAGTGCTTGTGCATGGAGCACTCAAATACTTGCGTGCCACCTTGGCCAGGTCAGGAAAGCGGTGAAAGCGGTGTGCGCTGGTGATTTCATCATACTCCGCATATTTGTCCGGGTATTTAGATTTCAAGTGGTGGAGTAATCCCGAAGTGCTGAAAGTCTTTGCAGTTACACCCCCTCGAGAAATGTCAGCTGAACACGTTTTGCAAATCGCAATCCGCGCCTCTTTCTCTGATATTGTGAAGTATCTCCAAGCGGCAGACATGTTGGCTGTGAGCCAGCTGCGAGCATGGTCGCCGCGTCTTTATTACGTCATCACAACAACATGTTAGGTTACCAACGTAAGCCTGTTCTGACATTCAGTGATATTTTTTCAGTGCCGAAAGCCGAAAGGGCCTTTTTAACCATTTTCGGCCGATAATTTTCGGTGGCCGAATATTCGGTGCATCCCTAATGTTAGTTTGACAATAAAGAACCTTGAACCTTCACACCAAGTACTTAGCCTGGTACTTGTCCCCGGTACTTGTTCCCCCCAAACTCTTTAGTCCCTGGAACTGTTTTAGTAGATTGTATTCTCACCGGAATAAGTCCCTGAGGGAGGATTAGGCAAATGAAGCCGCATTTATCTGTGACTTTCTGTTTGTGTGTGAGGGGGGGGTCAGTGGATCAGAGTGGCAGGTAACGCTCGCTGCAGCGTTTTACGGGGGTGGTTTGCAATTCGCCCAACCAATCAGAAATTGTTAGTGTGGCCGACACAGCCACAAACCATTTCCTCCAGAGGAAAGTACCACCTCTCTAGCAGGAACTATCTGGAGGTGAAAAGGTTTGTGCGAACTAGGGACTAGTTCCAGATCCTTTTTGGTGTGAAACCAAATCTCCGCCCCCCCCCCCCTCCCTATCGGCCTAGTTCGGGGGGAAAAGTACTCCGGTGTGAAAGCGCCTATTGCTAATATTAGTAGGGAACTAACTCATTACTGCAATAACACTGTGGGATGCTGTGGCTCAGTGACTTAGTGTGCTGATCTCTGGATCAGGGGAGCACTGGTTCAATCCCCACTGCAGTCAGCATGTGGTTGTGTCCTTGGGCAAGACACTTCACCCACAATTGCTGTAAGTCGCTTTGGGTAAAAGCGTCTACCAAGTAAATTCAAACCTAAAGGGAACTTAACATGTTGTAGTTACTACTAAATGTACATTAAAGACAATATACAATAATACAATTGGCTGTAGAGAACTTATGAAACAGACACTGTAAGGAAGTAATTAATACTAAATACATGTACAAAATGTATACTATGAAATGCATTTGAACAGAGATCTTTTTGTCAAAAGGTTAAATGATTCCTTCAACCTCACCTCATGGATGTGAATGTTGTTTGTATTTTATTTATCTCTGTTTTCTTATGATTTAGAAAGGTTCCTGTTGAGATCAAAAGAAAAAAATGGTGAAAGTCCAGGTTTACATTTGCTGTTGTTTTTGAGCCATTTTGTGTTGAGTGAAAATACTTTATTTTCAAGAAGATTTTAATTCTGACCTGTTTGCAGGTTATATTCTGTTGAAATAAATGAATAATTGTGTCTACAGCTGAATAACTTGTACTTTGTAAAGACTTTTCCGTGATGTGGCCATGAACCCAAGTACAAAGTTACAATCCCTCAGCTAGCATTTTGCTATCCCCTCTTTTCCAAACACCAATTGTCCAATCATATTTTAGCAACTGGAAAAAACTGGTTTATCAAGCTTTGGTTTGATCCACGTTGAAGCATTTGGCATGGAGCTGTAATACAACAGAATTGTAATGGTGACATAATAGAGTGGTGCAGTGATGAAGCATTTCTGTTGGCAGACCTTGAAGTTAGCATTACAAGGTCTCCCTTGACAAAAAGCAATGGGATTTTCTAAGTATATTGCAGAAAATAACATGTTCATGATACTTACACATTTTATTCAGCATGATTATCTCCACAAATTCAAACCGCTTTTGACATAAATGCTATCGCCACAAGTCAAAAGCTTACGTAATGCTATAAATGAACTACATCACCACCGCTAAGCTAAAGGGGGTCTTGTGTCGGCATGATGAAGTTTACTATTGTATATTACTTGTTAACCACTGCTGTTATTATGAAACATAGAAGCTTCGGACATTCACAAGTAGGTTAACTGCACATGTATGTTATGTTAAAGAACAAAACGTGAAAATCTCTTCAGCTCTAGTTAACCACACGCCTTGTTTCAGGCCTCTAAAGAAAAACACTTTTTTTTTTTTATTGACTTGGAGACGAGGGAATATGTCATGCTAACTCATTCTGGATTTTTGGGTTCGTTCCTGCACCACTTTTTAACAAAACTTGTTAGTAGACTTCAGCTTTTTACAAGCTTGTCTTCATTGTCTTTATAACAGAAAAACCCATGTAGCTAATGTTAGCTGATAGCTAGCTAGCTACAGCTCATTAAATCTGCCAGTGACACGCTTTAATTCAGTCGTAATAAGTCTGCTTAATTTTTTAAATAAAGCCTAATTTTTTATGAGAATAACTATCAACTTTAATTTCCAAACCTGCGATTTGTATCCTGGTAAAACTACATAATGTACCATGCATAAACTGGAAGCTTGACAGGCGTAGCATTTCTTACTTAGCAGGCAGATAGAAATGATGGTCCGAACTTTCAAAGTAAAAGCCAAGATGTAATGTCTCTGAATTGTATTTGAAGTAAAAGCTGCACCAGGCTGTTTCACAAATGTAGCTGTTTGTTATAACTGGCAAACACCCAGAAAACACCTGTGCTAGAGACGCTTGGAGAGAAACATTGTAATGCTGATTTAAAAAAATGTAATAGGATGCACTGAATCTCCTGAGCACTAAGAATGTCTGGGAGATACTTTCTGAGAGCAGCTACAAAAAGTATGTATTCTGCTTTGAATGTGCAACCTAGTCTCTGATCACATGTTTAACACATTCCCCATTCCTTCTAATCACCTCAGAGTTCAGGACAAAGAGGATACATGAAGTGCTGATGATTACTTCTGTTAACCCCGTTGCTCGTGTCTCCTGTCTGTAGGCGGCCTGTACATCGACAGTGCCTATTACCAGCCGCAGACCATCGCCACACCTATCATCATCCACCTGGGCCCTCAGGATCTTTTCTGACCCGACCCACGCACCGAGGCCAGACTCTGCATCGTCCTCGGCCCCCCGTTTAACCCCTTGCCCTTTTTAAACTCTGCCAGCGCCTCTCAATTACTGCAGCGCCGCGCCCTCGGGACTCTCCTTCCACACGAGACGCGGCAGCAATATTGAAAGCAATATGGAGGAGACAACACTGCGGGCAACACTCTGTCAAGTCAAGGTCGGGTTTTTGTGAAGAGGCGAGACTTTGTTCGCCAGCTCTCTCAGAAAATGTCAATAAAACACAAAGCAATAATTCTCCTGCCTTTGGGTATCTCAACATGTTCAAAAGCAACTTCAGCAGAATTCAAACAGACCATCAACACCGGCACATACACCACAATGTGACCTGTCTGTCAATATATTTACTATCTGTATATATGAATGTTTGTGAGTTTTGAATATATATATATATATATAAACATGTTAATATGTTTGAATATGTAAAACTCGCTGACAGGTAAAGAAACGTATTCATAATATATCTCTGAATGTAAATACTAGTAGCTTTGTATTTAAAGCACTCAGCAATGCTATCTATGAATATTAAGATTTAAATTAATTTTACAAACTCTATTACACTATTGGTATGCTGGTATATATTCCCTATTTAAACATGATAACATATAGTATACAAAGTATTGATTTTCCCTGAGATAAATGTAACATACTATTTGACATAAGGTTTTAATTATTTATTTTCCCAAAAATAATCTCTTAAATTGAATCTTTGTCACCAGTCGTAAAGTCCACTTCTGTCACACGTCTGTTGGGTTTAAATCAATGGTTACCAACCCGAGGGCACGGGCCCCCTCAAAAGCACACAGGACAAATATTAGAGGTCGCAAAATGATTAATGGAAGAGGAAAACAAATATTTCTACTACATAACGTTGTTAGTAACAGACCTTTCTTGGTTTTAAAGCTTGGTTTTAAAGCTCTCAGACAGAATCATAACTATAACAACCAACACCCAGGGCCGCCCCTGGCTAATTTGTGGCCCCACGCAAAGTTATGTGATGAGGCCTTCTGTGTCGCGAGCGTCGACGGGGGGGGGGGGCCTGCCCCACGCAGTCTGTGTGATCTGCGTGTAAGGAGGGGCGGGCCTGCCAACACCTACAGTATTTTACAACTGAATGAGCAGGAGTGCCGCTTTGGAATTTGTTAATCAGAGCATTATTAAACTTTGATAACTTTTTGCTATGTAAAGATGGAGAGTTATATCTATCTGAGCAATCTTTTACTTTACGCTGGTTAGCTTTTTGCTTAATTTGTTAGCATTAAAGAACTACATCTCCCATGATGCTTGAGGGCAGATATTGTTGCAGTTGAATGGTGAGAAAATAGTGTGCAGTGATGATGTATTTTTGTAGGCCGACCTGCAAGTTAGCATCGCGAGGGCCCCCTCGACAAAAACCAATGGGATTTTTACATTGGATTTCGGTATATCGATGAAAAAAAAGCTCTGTGGCAAACATAAATGTATGATACTCATCACGCGTTGTTTGGCAGGATAATCTACACATATGTAGACACACACATATATACCACCTAATGATTTTTTTGAACGGTAAATGCAATCGCTAGAAGTCAAAAGCTAACGCTTTAACAAACAACATCACAGTCGAACCGAACCTGAAAATCTCTTTAGCTTGTGTTAACCACAGACCTCATTTCAGGCATCTACCGAAAAAGCACCTTTTTAAAAAAAAACATTGACTTCAAGATGAGAGAACTGTAAATGGTAAAAGGCTGGTTCATTTCAGGGTTGTCTTCTTGGACTGGTTCCGACACAACTCTATAGCATTGCTACCCTAGTTGACTATAGCTCAGATGTCAACAAGTGTTGCTAAGAGTTACCTGATGCTAAGTGCATACAAACCCTGACATTTTGCTAAATAGTTTAGAAGATACACTTCCCGTTTGGGAATATGTGACCCTTCTTCAAGAGAATGTTTCCAAATGACTCTAAAGCAGGCTACAACAGTGCTAACCATTAGCACCTCACTGTCCACCAAACCTCTTAAAACTGAGGAATAATATTTGATTTAAAAGTCTGATGAAATGACCTGCTAATATTTTGTTTTTGCATTATTCCTCACTGCAGCCTGACTGAAAGCACAAGTGTTTAAAGCAATACTTCACTCAGGAACCTTCAAACTAAATCTGATCATGTGAAACAAACAAACAACAGAGAGTACGGCAAACTCCTCGGTACTGTAGACGAGACAATGCTCAAACAGAATGTAAATGCTGTTGTAAATGTAAATTGTCCAAACCAGATAATAATCACATTTTATGTCACAGTTATAAAAATGTTTAGGGAGAATAACCAAATCCAGTGAATCCAGTGCAGATTCCCGATGAATTGACACATCCTTTGTAAAAATGTTGGTTCTTGTCTAACACTAGTTTTGTCGTGTCTGAACTTCCATACTCTGCACAGCTCCAGCAGTCTTCTCTGGGATTATGTGTGATATCAAAGAGGCTTTTCTGATTTGTAACAGTCGTGCGAAACCTGGAAATTAAAAAGAATGTGTAACAAGAAAAGACGAGGCATGAAAGAATTTGGAGTTTGGTGTGTGTTCCTGACCCCTTCTACTTCATCAGTTTTTTTTTCTTTCAGTCACACTTGGCTGCCGCAGAGCTAATTACATCTGAGGGAACAGAGAGAGTGAAAGAAACATCGGATTACACACAGAGAATCAAATAAAGTCCCAAAACAAGACATTTAAACCAGCTGCTTGAATGAAAAGCTAAAGAACTTAATGAGTAAAACTGTGTTTGTAACTCCGCAGGAAGCTTATTTGGTCTCCAGTATCCCACTGATGTCAGCCAATTCTCACCTCAGTGCTACACCACATGGAAGCCGTAAGAACACACACACATTTGAATTTGTCACTGGTTTAAAAAGACTTATTGTCCTGGTAACATCCAGTTGTTGCCAGAGGCATAGCACAGCAGAGGCAGATAAAAACCGCCATCAGTCAAAGTGTTGATGTTTTTACGTGTCGGTATGTGACTGGAATATCTATTTAGATCTATTAAATAACTCACTAAGGGGCCTAATTAAGCTGATTTCCAGGTTCATATTTGTATGTAGTGCCTCTACTGGGACATGTCTCCATGCTTTAATGTTCAAAAAGCTCTTTATTTTTTATCATACTGCCTGTGCTGCAGCACCTCTTTTCACCCTCTGTCTGAAACCAGAGCCCAGTCTGCTCTGATTGGTTAGCTGACCGGCACTGTTGTGATTGGTCAACCGGTTAGAGATGTCCTGCCCCTTAACCCTGTTATTTCTACCACTGTGCCGTGACAAACCAGTGTGCCATGAGAGATCGTCAGGTGTGCCGTGAGAAATTGTAAAATGTCACTTAATCGCTCCAAAAATATTATTTAGTTGCTGCAAATAAAATCGAACACTAGTATTCACAAGAATACGGACTATTTTGTTTGCCTGCATTGACTAATTGAGAAACGGGTAATTTTATTGAGAAAAATACATAGAGAGAGATCTCAAAGCTAGCTACTTCGGCGCTGAACTCCTAGCGGAATTGAGAGACTTGTCAGCTAGCTTCTTTAGACTGAGCCTGTCAAACTGTCAATGACTGTTTCTGGTGAGTGGTAACCTGTCATTATTTAACAAGCCCACCTTACTTTCATTACAATTTTTTATTTTCTTTAATTGAGTTAAAATATTGAGTTGAGGAACTAGCAATATTAGTTTTTAGCCAGATCATCCATTAGCCTTATAGTAGGCCTTTGATGAGTCTTATCCTCCATAAGTTTATGGTGTTGAATTTCAGACTGACACAAATCAGCACTTTCCCAGATTTGTGAACAGAATGTAATAAATGCTGCTCAGACCTCAGCAAGTCTGCAGAGAAAATAAAAACTCTTGCAGGGAATATTGTTCGTTCCAACTGCTTTTATTTCTAGCAATGAAATCATGGATGTTTAGTGTTCGGTGAGGCAGAAGCCTGAATGCAGATGGCGTGGATGTCGGTATCAGATGGAGGTTTAGGTCCTGCTGGTATTTTCAGCGGTGAGAAAGAAGCCAGAAGGTGTTGGATTACGCAACGTGGGTACATGCAGCCCTCACTGATGGCAGGCTGTCATCTTACTTTGGCGCTCAGGACCATGATGCAGTGCAGCGCAAACACATTTGTTTCACCCTCGAAACACCTCTGACATCAGTTCGAAGGATAAAGGACGATCACACTGTATATATGTATATTTGTCATGATGCGACTAATTGTTACAGTATATACAGGGTTGTGTTGTAACGGAATACATGTAACGGCGTTACGTAATCAGAATACAAAAATCAAGTAACTGTATTCAGCTCGCGTTACATTTGAAAAACGAGTAATCTGATTACAGTTACTTTCGTAAACCTGAAGTGAATATATTTTGGATTACTTATTGGAATTATTGGTGGAAAGATTTCCTCACAACATTTAATATTCATTACTAAAGGTACAGCCGAATCATCACAGCCCACAAAACCTATTACCGCCGCAGATGGACCAAAAAAGCGTTTGAAAAAAAATCGCGGGTCCGCTCAGTGAAACAATAACAGCGAAACATGGAGGAACACAAGTCTGCGTTTAAATCGCGTGTGTGTGTGGTTAAAACACATCAGCCTGCGGTCGCTCTTTCTTTAGCCTTACTAATGATTATTTCTGAAGGTAAACACAGTGAAGGCGGTGCGTGAAAGGCACTGCGTGCTCGTCTTCTCAGAGGCTGAGTTAACCCTCCCGCTGCCTCCTGGCGCTGCAGAGATTTCATGAAGTGAAGGAGGTGTTCCTTCTATAAAACAGCTGCGGCCAGCAGATACTGTGAGAGTCACGGACATGAATTCATAGATCAAGGCAGACTGGTGCACACACTCTCCTGTTTTGCCAATCCGGTGCTTAACCCTCTGGAGTCCAGGTGCGCATAATTTTACGTATTTAATCATATATTTCCGATTATAAGGAGTATAAATATGATTCAGATATCCGCGTAATCGCTGGAAGAGTAGCTTTCCAGCGGTATCTCCTGTGAGACTGTAACCAGGGCACAGCAGCCAATATGGCCGCTCAAAGCAGCTTGACTTTACACTGTGTGGGATTGGTGGATTTGTGTGTCCGTCAAGGAAATCTCGGCCGGCAGCCATCATGGTCTGAAATGACCAATGGACATCGAGAAATCACTAAGGACCTACCCACCAAGTAAACCACGTGTCTCCCATCAGTTTACGTCTTTGAGGAGAGAGAGAGAGCCAGAGAAAATGGCTAAAAAAAACTTTGCAGTTGCCTACTTCGCTAGAGATTTTTTTCGCTAGCAGCAGTGAAGATAGAGCCTCAGAACGTGAAGTCTTCGACTCTTCTGAAGAAGAAGAATACAAAGACAACAACAAGGATCCATTTGGGCATGGGTAAGTGTAAATATTACAGTAATAGTGTACTGGCAATGTGTGGGGAATACCGCGAAAATGAACAATAGGTTTATTGATATATATTATTTATCGATAGTCATGAACTTTTTATTGGACAAAATAGACTCTCCATTAGCAAACGTTTACTCTGTGTTAACGTTATTTTGGTGTGTAAAAGTGAGATTACATGTGTAGAGGATTAAATTAATCATGTATTCGTCCCACCACGGAGACATTTACAGTGACATGTTTTGCCATCGATTATTTTATCATACTGTTCTGTACAGATGAGACTTTGTAATCAGATGTAGCCTATGTATATGTGTGTCTGTGATTTTATACTGAACGTAAAGTAACTGGAAATGTGTGTGTGTGTGTGTGTGTGTGGTGTGTGTGTGTGTGTGTGTGTGTGTGTGTGGTGTGTGTGTGTGTGTGTGTGTGTGGTGTGTGTGTGTGTGTGGTGTGTGTGTGTGTGTGTGTGTGTGTGTGTGGTGTGGTGTGTGTGTGTGTGTGTGTGTGTGTGGTGTGTGTGTGTGTGTGTGTGTGTGTGTGTGTGTGTGTGTGGTGTGTGTGTGTGTGTGTTGTGTGTGTGTGTGTGTACCTTTGTTAATTAAGAGGACTTTTGGTATGAATACACACCGACATTAGCCAGACATTTTTTATTAACAGGACAGGGTCGGTGTCCTGCTAATATATACAAATTCTAAAAGCGTAAGAAGTGTTTCTATAGGTGTAGAAAGCTTAAATACCCAACAAAAAAAAAAAGACCTTTTTATACACAAAACCCAGAAAATTGTGTATTTTTCTGTGTGTCAGAAGAGCGCTCATATAGCTGGTTTTTTGGTATTGCACCCCGCTCATGAATATTCACACAGAAGGAGCTCTGATTGGCTGACTGCCGGATGGTCCTGACAATTCATGTTTCTGTGAAAAATGTTGTGTGTGTAATAAGAATAAGAATAACATAGTAATAATAATTAATATTATTATTATGTTATTAATATTATTATTATTATTATGTCTAATACTACCTACATTTCATTGCAGTTTAGAGATGTAATTATCAGGCTTTTGTTTAATACTATATTATATCATTATGTCTAATATTTCTATAATTTCATTGCACCTCTACTGTAGCTTTTATCTGATAATATACTTTAAGGTACTCAGTGTTTTAGGAGTCCATATCGGTCTTTGTCTCAAGACCACTTTTTTGAGGTCTTGTCTTTGAATTGACTGCATTTTACCATTGTATTGTTTCATTCTTAGACAAGGCTGAATTTATTCCAAGACTGCTCAAGATCTTAACTGCGGGGATATTACATAACTTCCATTGTCAAATGTAATTGTTTATTTGTTATTTATTGTTATTGGATATAAAAATGCATGCCCAACATACAGTACTCTACCTTGTGCCCTTAGTAAAAATGTTGATTTTGTTTAGTCAAATTAGTCCTTCAATATGAATAAATGCTCACAAAATGGTTCAGAAATGTAAAATCAGGATATACATATCTCTCTCCGCACACATATCTATCATTGCACACATAAATGTGTATTGTTTTATATAAATCTGAAAAATTCCACATTATCCAAATTTTTTATCAACACATGAATATTTATTGCTTTTCATGTATAAAGTGCTCTGCATTTCATACAAAAAAAAGGCGAGTTTGTGAATGCAGGTTGAATAGTTTATGTATAAATGTAACAAAACAAAATATATCTTTAATGAAAATTGCTAACACTTTAATTAAAATACTTGTGGATATCTATTACAAACATTCTTGTGTGGATCAAAAACATTTTTAGAAATAAACCACATTTGTGCAGATAGAGACATTTATATCCATCCATCCATCTTCTCCCGCTTATCCGTGGTCGGGTCGCGGGGGTAGCAGTTCCAGCAGAGAGCCCCAAACCTTCTTTTCCCTGGCGACATCAACCAGCTCTGACTGGGGGATCCCAAGGCGCTCCCAGGCCAGCGAAGAGATATAATCCCTCCACCTGGTCCTAGGTCTACCCCTTGGTCTCTTCCCAGCTGGACGTGCCTGGAACACCTCCCTAGGGAGGCGCCCAGGTGGCATCCTAACTAGGTGCCCGAACCACCTCAACTGGCTCCTTTCGACGCGAAGGAGGAGCGGC